GCAAATTATGACTCCCATAGTTGCCATATCGCATGTGAACATGAACATTATTTATAGAAGACGATGGCATACGTAAAAGGCCTCCTACTTTTCCTGTTGCAGTGTTTTTCATTTGTCGACCTCATTATTATATGCCGCAAATTATCTCATGTTCCTCATACTACTTGTTCGTATTAGATTGGTTCTATTTTTAGGTCATTATAGGCTGATTATGTGTCCCTCAGCTGCCACATCCTAGAGTTTGTGGACATGAAAATTGTTTATAGGCAAAGATTCGATACTTACATTGCCGCCTACCTTCGCCATGGCAGTGCCCCTCACTTTTTGACCTTAACGTTGGCTGTTTCAGGCTCCTGCAAGTCCCACTCTGCCTGTTTTTGTTGAAGTTTGTGTCTGGTCCGAAGAGCCTAGGAGCCGCCAACGCTTTCATCCGACTAGGTTTCCATTTCCCTCTTGTTCCCTACGCCAGCTTTGCTGAATTTTGGGCGTCCAGTTTCACTCTTTCCGGCCACAATGTGAAGGGAGGGCGAGTCCGGACCGATCCATACCATCACTTGTCTAGAGCGTTTTATGCATGTTGAGGGTAGAATGTGTGGTCCTCGGGGTTTTTGGTCCACTCGAGTGTCGTATGAAGCTGTCTGTACTATTCTGCAATAAAACTAGAATGCGCATAATCGAAGCTCACCTTTTATTTCTCCTACAACGAGTTTCCGGTCCACTTTCGAAGAAGTATGTATTAGTACATGCGCACCTCTACACATTCTCTGTGTGTATATGTGTGTGTTTGTCTATTTGGGTGGGTGGGTATGCACTAGTTTCAGACATATATAAACAAATACTTAGTAAAACTGCATTGACTTAGTGTCACCGGCTATTTTGCCCCACTGACAACTTTAGATTAATCACCTCCCCTGTCAGGAGAGGTATAGTGCTGAATCACCACCGCATTTACCAGCACTGACGGCATCATCAACCTCGTCGGCAGCTTCAGCATCCTCAAAAGCCTCAGTTAAGGCCTCGTTTTTCTCAGAGATTTTAGCCCACATATTGTCTTCTCGATATTTGGGCTATTCCATTTTTCTACAGGCAAATGGTTTGCTTAAAGCTGGTATATCTTAAGAGTCTTGTTAACCTGCCCTCCTGGTAGCGAGTCCGATGCACACCAACACAGACGCGCACAAAAACACATTAGTTGGTGGGAGTGGACACTCATGTGCACACACCACGGGATTCGCTGCCTCATTATTCATCCAATTTAGTATAATAAGGCTAGAAATCGGAAAGTCGTACAGAAGACCCGCGACTTGTCTGCAGGCGCAGGAGTCACGAGAAATTATTGTGCCTCAGAGTCCGAATGACAAAATGTGGACTGATGCAGATAGCACAGCTGCCTTATCCGCAGACAAAAAGGTGCTTCTACTCTATGGCACACGCAAATGCACCCACTAATGTACATGCAGGCAGAGACCCACGGAACACACCCTCGGTAACCTCCCCTCCGGATAAGCTCGATGTAGATGAGGCGGCCGAGAGAAGAAGACTGTGTAAATCAGGCCCTCATACGGACTCCGTTGAAACCGGTTTCTTCTGCTCTCTTACCATCTCCCCTCCCCTGCGTGAGGCACACACACATACATGCACGCATACACAAACAGTCGGGCAGAGATGTGTGCAAACATACCAGGAAGCTGGTCACTTCTGAACTGCCCATTCTCTTTTGCTCTGTAATGACATGCCCGAACCTTCACTCCGACTCACTACTACCCATGGAAGAGAGGATACCTCGGAATGACCTTTTGCATAATGTTCACGGCCTACTAAAACGACAGTTAAAGACATATAGGAAGAGCAAGAGAGAGCGTGAGAGATGGGGAGGAGAGAAGATGGGAGGAAAAAGACGTAGCAGTTGTTGGCTAATCCCTGCGGCTCAACAAGATGATGTAGCACCTGTAGCCCCCCCTCTGTCTATAATGGCATTTTGCCTGATGTAGGTATTCCTGACCGGCGGGGTTTCACTTATCCAACCCTGCCAATGGTCGCATGGGCAAGTGTGCAATTATAAAGTATTTCGTCAGCATTGCCTCAAGAAAGAGAGAGAGATAGAGACACGATCTGTGGCCAGGGGGTAGCGAAGATGTCGCAGCCTAACCTTCCAGCCAAGTCTGTCTGTGAATCGAGGTGGGTGTGTGCACAACGGCCTCGGACAGAGGGTGGAGCCGAAATAGGCCGGAAATGCAACAGGCCCGAGGGGTCTGGAGAAAAGGAGTCGGGGGACAGTGAGATTGTCTGACCAGGCATCGAGTTCGACTGGGAGGAATGGAGTCAAATAAAGACAGTAACAGCCTTGTCTGAGCCGTCCGGTGGGAAGAGGGCCAGAGGGTGTGGATTTGTGTTGGTCAGCTTTGTGGTAAGTATATGTGATTTCTTGCTCTACCGAGGGTGGGGAAGATGGGAGATGAGCAAGGGTTGTAGTGAATGATGACTGACCAAACTCGAGGCTGGCTGGACAGACAAGGATGGAAAGGGTGTGAATGAGTGGCCTGGATGTATACATATTAGCGACATCTTTTTTCCAAGATATGCACGAACGTGCTGTTTAGCCCAAGTCTTCCAGCTCCAAGGGTCTGAACACACAACGAAATGGCTCCGTGGCCCTTTATCTATTGTCTTGCGTGTGTGTTCAGGAGACTTGCTGCATTAGGAGAAGCCTCGAAATTTTGTGATAAATTAAGCAAACGAATGAATATTTATGTATACACACGGAATGACCGATGAATTAGGTTAACGATGATGCAGACCTCAGCGTGCTGGTGGGAAGGCTCATGCATTGCTGATTGGGAGTTGTGTGCAGTCGAGTCCGAGTAAGACTCGAATAAAGGGTGTGTTTGCAGAGTTCGGACCAGTCACAATGTCTGCCTCTCTTGCTGTAGAGGCTGTTGGGCGTCAGAAGAGGGCAGAGTCGAAAAGAGGGCCTTCGATTGCATCAAACGACTCGGACACTGTCAACTCGCGAGACCAGCATGACACAAATATGCACAGACGCACTCTGACATGGACACACATTGCGAGATGGGCATAAGTTTCTCCTGAATGAAGGCGCATTCGTCACATGTGTGCTCATAATTAAGTATGAATATGTATGCTTGCATGTGACCGCTCTAAAACTGGATGGGTATATAAGTGTGTGTGGGTGTTTATACGTGTTGCGTGGCTGCGGCCAGCGAAAGTAAACAGTTGTTACAGTGGCCGGGAGGTAGAAAAAGCCGAATGAAAACAGGCGTCGTTTTAAGCTGTTGTTTACAGATAGCCCTAGTCAATTTCGAATGGCCGATATGATTATGTGAGAAAAGTATAGCAATTGTTTATTGCCCGCCTTACAATGCTTCGATTTGTTAGTATTATTGCTCCGCATGGCCGGGTTAAGAGAGGGCTTTTTCAGGACACACTTTCAATTAAGGTGGACGTGACGAAAGGTTTGTCAATCACTCATCAGAATTCGCCAAACCAGAGTCGCCACGAGTCCTTCGAGCCTGTAGCTTTCGTCAGAAGGCACCGCTGCTCATCTGAGCCTGTACCGGTATCGCTGGCTTCTCAGCGCTTCCGTTAGGCCCTTTGAAGGTATCCATTTTCGTGCGAAGCAGCCATCATAAGCCATGATACTCCCATGGGTCGGTGTGAAAATTGGTTAGTCTTCACATTTGAAAGGTCGCTTCCAATGACTCCTGCACTCATTATACCCTGATTGGTTGGGTCGCCAACCCCTCTTTTGTAGTGACACGAGTTGGCACAAGTAAGGCGACTACTGTGGACACTTTCTTTTCTTAGACAAGTGCATAACGAATAGATTCGTTGGTTGATCTCGCCAGAAGATGACGGCCTATTCCCATTGTTCTGCAGCCGTTTGTATTTAATATGACAATCATGACACGCAAGATAGTCTACCTCGCTTCGTGTGGAGCCGGGCTGAATTTTTGTCCATAATGTGACGAACATCATCATAGCTGGAAGACATTTTTGCAAATGTCTCAAATTAACACCTAGAATACTGTCCGGCTCTATCCTACATAATAATATATTCATAAATATAAAACGAAAAAATGTAAATATAGATAGATAGGCATAGAATGACTTGGTTATTTCTCTTTCACGTTAGCCAAGAGACTTTTACTTTAGCGTATCTATCTAAACGTCGAATTAAAGCCAAACGGCTGCAGAAAAACGAGAATCGGCCGTCGTCTTCTGGTGAGATTAGCCAAAAAATCCCTTCAGCATCCATTTTCATACGAAAGGACAGTCTTCATAATATTGTTACCTCAAGAGATTCCTCGAAACCCAACTACTCATCGTATCTTCAAATAAGGCGAGTCTAGGCAAAAGCAAAATGTTGGGCATATACATCACAATTGGAATAAAAACTGGGTTGCGAAGACGCCTCTACTAAATTCTGAAGG